CAGAGCTAAGAAGCTGGCAGGAACGGTCCAGTCTGTACTTAATGGGATCACGATTGGAACCAGGCGACCCGGCATCACCCAAGATCGTGACCGTGCTCATGAACGACGGCTGTTGTAACTAATCTGGTCCGGGTGATGATTTAATACTCTTTTTCCTTACACCCGGGTTTGTCCCAATGGGTTTACCGGGTGGGGTTTTAACGAGGTTAAGTCCATTGCCCATCTCTCGACCTAGGATTGGTTTATGGTCTGGTTCATGGGTCGGAATAGCAAGAGTCATTTTCGGCTTGGCAACTCAAGAGTCAGTCAAAGGCCAGCCGAAGAGTCAGTCTTTAGTTCATTTATTTCGGTCAAGACTTTATTAATTTTTCTGTCATTTTCGAGTTTGTCTCTTGAGCTACTTCGCCTGCTATATAAAGGCTTGCTCCCCTTCTCATTTTGATTCATTCACTCATCAAATAAAATCTGAGTTTTCTCCTTTGTTCTTCTAGAACTTTTTCGATTCCTTAGGTGGTTAGCCTCTTGAATCTTTTCGGTTTATCAAGTTCAATCCATAGAACTTGACGCAGCCTTCACCCAGTTGTCTCGTTGGAACGTTCAAGTAGTTAAAGGGGCTTAGGGATTTTCGGGAACCTAGTTCTCACGCCTTAACATCCTTTTTCCGCGGATCCAATCAGCCAGCTTAGTCACCCCCTTGTTTCAAGCCTTTCACCGCGAGTTTGGGCCTAAGGATCTTCGGGTTCCAACCCACCCCTTAGCATCTTCTCCGTGGATCCGTTTGGAGTCAAGGATCTATCCATCTGATACCGACCAAGTGTGTGCCGTTCTTTGGGAATTCGTATCAGGGGTGATAATAATACTAAGGAGAAAGAGGAGAAGAATGGGGCATGTGGGTGACATGAGGTTTGATGAGACGCATAAGTAAGAAATAGTGAAATTAATGAGAAAAAGTTGTTTGCTTCGAGGGAATAAAAAATGCAATGGGTGTGAGAATAATTAAGAGTAGATGTTTTTGGAATTTTTGTTGCAGAATCTGAGCCTGAATCTTGCAAGTTGCAACCTCATCAATATCGCATGGTATTGTAATTTTTTTTCTGCATACTCCAAATAAATACAAACGTACATTATTCTCTTTTATTTGACTTCTCTACCTCCTATCTCTCTGGTTACTTTTTTCTTTGTCGCTTCTTATTTCCACATCATCGTCCCTTCTTTAACATATGTCACCTTCCTCTTCATATACGAAGCATGTTGTTACTCTTACTCCACATTAATGATGGATTGTGACATTTTCGTATAAGTTATGAGTTTGTTAGAACTATAAAGTGGTACATGTTTTGCACTTCAAATCAACTTTGCTTTTGAAAGTGAGACAATTTGGCATGTACACAAATTAAAGCATATTATTTAATCAAAGAGTGGGACGTACGCAACTAACACGAGTTTAAGAATGTTGCATGGGACTAAGAACAACAATTAATCTACAAATGTGTTATTAATTAACGTAACAAAACTACATTGAAGGGAGTAGGGACTCAGATCATCACATACTTTTTTGTTAACTAACTTGAGCTACTCATGTTGATCACGCCGTTCCTAACCCAAGAAAATCGAAAAAGGGTGGTTTCTTCTCCTCATTCATGCTCTCAAGCATCTCACACTTCCCGGTTTGGTTCGCAAAATCGAATGTAGTTGCCTCTTGAATCCTTGCTACGTAATCACCGACCATCATTTGATTTTCAAACATTCCCAACATCAATGGACTCTCGTTTCCATGATCAGAACCTAAACGTTACAAACCAAAAAGAATTTAAAAAAAAAATCAGGATAAGAGATTTTAAACCAAATCAAATTAAGGAACTAGAGGACAGACTCAAACCTGAGAAGCAAGGAACTGGCAACATAAACTGGTTCTGATCATCATTACTCACAAGGTGGGTCAAAGCTAACCTAGTAGGGTCAAAAACGTTGAAAACCTGAGAATTTGGGTTAAGGGGTGGGTTAAGAGGAAGCATCGTCTTCCTCCTGCGGTAAACAGAAGATTGTTCTCTAAACTTGCGAGCCATTATAACATGCCAATGGTTCTTCACAGAATTATCAGTCCTTCCAGGGAAAAGCCTTGCTATCATCGCCCATTTGTTACCATAAAGCCTATGAGCTTGCATTAGCCTCTCCTCTTCTTCCTCTGTGAAGGCTTTTCTGTTTATCCTCGGGTCTAGTTGGTTAAACCAACGAAGCCTACAACTTTTCCCTGCCTCAACATCAACACCCAAAACTATCAAGATTCAAGAACCTGATTAATCTTGAAAAAGCTTAGCTAATTAAGCGATTGTATCTACATTACCGGATCTTCCTTGGAGCTTTTCCGCGATGAGGTTCCAGTTTTGTGGACCATAGAGAGCGACTAGTTCTTTGAGCTTAGCATCTTCAGCTGGTCTCCAATGTCCTCTCGCCACCGAAGCTTTTGACGAGTTTCCACAGCTTCCATAGTCTCTTGTCTCTTTCTTGCTGCAATTACTTTGATTAGGGTTTCTAATCCCTTCTTCTTTATGACTTGCGTAGTACTGATCATGATGCTGATCGTTGTTAATGTTTAAAGAGAAGTACTCCCATGAAGTGATGTGATCCATCCAACGGCGGTGATCTTCCGACATGACAATGATGTTGCTGTTGGTTAGGGAAGAAGAATAAGAAGAAGAAGAAGAAGATGGAAAGCGAGGTGTAATAGAGGGAAATGCCACGTCAGCAAACACCATCTCCATCCTCATTGGAGGAGAAGATGTGACGATATTAAATATGAAGTGTAACACTGTAATATCATATATATTTGATATTTGTGTGATATTATTACGTATGGCTCTAAGCTATGTGCGTGTATGTATATGTCGTGACCTTGTTTTCTGACAAAATGCTGTTATACAACTGTTAAAAGGTTTATGGACTGTCACGGACTGATTTGAAAGCTGATGCATATTTCTATTTACGCATTATTGATAACTTCAATACTCACTTCTTACTTCTACATATATTCTAAATATTTACTTTTGAATACATAATATTATCTATAGTTTAAGTTATAAGCAAGCATATATATAATCTACATTTTACACTCAAATCTGATAAAAGAAAAAAAAAACCGTAACAATAATTATCGTTGAACCCTTTTTATAAAAAAAATAAAAATAAAATATAATTATCATTGAAAGTTTGGTCAAAAAAATAAAAAAAGCCATAAATGTGAAACCGTATAGAGAGATGAATAAAACATGGTAGGAGAGAGAAAGAGTGAAAGCCAGGGAACACGTTTCCTACGTTGTGAGCAGTGAGATGTGTTTGGAAAAGTGAAATAGAGATGAAAAGTTGTTAAACATCCGTAAAACTCTTTTTAAGAACTGCTTTTCTTATTTTCTTTGTTGTCCCAAACAAAACATCAATATTACTACTATATGATTGCTTGCGGGACAAAATATTGGTTTAAGTTTTGTAAACCAACGTGGTTAACTGTTTAATGAAACATTAATCTAATCACCAGTTTACTTGAAGTGTATGAAGAAAACGGTTAGTTTGATCTCGCGTGTGAGGAGGAAGAAACAGACACGTTGAAGAAACCTAATCTCCTTCTCTTTATGGTCTCGCTAAAAATTTTGTTTCCCCGGCTTCTATGGATCTTTGTTTTCTTTCACCTTTTTCTTTTCAAAATTTCACTTAAGTGTCATTGAGTATATATAACAAGATATATACATTGATTTGTTTTTTTTAAAGAAAAGATACATTGATTTGTTTCTATGTCGTTTTGAAGGCCTTTTAACAAATAAATAAAAATGTCGTTTCACCAAAAAAAAAAAACTCTCATTTTAGTTGATGCGTTTGTTGTTGTCGTTAGTTGCTAACAAAAAGTGGAAACGCTATTAACTATTAAGGATAAACCTAAACGTCAGAAGTCTGAAGTAGTCCTAACTAACAGCACAAAAAGGCTCAAAGCACATTTGATTTCACTTTTGTGTCCCTTCTAAGCACAACCATTTCTCTCAAAACATACTTCACAGTTCACATATCCTTTCATTAACCCCCACCTCTTCTCGCTCTCTTTGAAATTTTTGACCTTTTTTGGCCAAAATATAAACTTCTCCAACTTGGCTGGTTTCTCCTTTTTTTTTCTCAATCTACCACTAATGAATGGGTTTATACATGAATTAGCCAACCGTCTATTCCATAAGTCGCTACATTAAAATCATCTTGTAAGAGATCGGTTATAATATAGATTTTTTAGAATTCCCACTGCAATTATTCATCACGCCATAATGCAATTTATATCTCCCCTTCAGAACTTTTGCTTAGAAAGTCTAAAATCGAGTTCATTGTGTTATTATTTTGGTAAATGCATAGAAACTTCATATTAGCCCATGATGGTAAGCGGGTAGAGTCAAATGAAAATATATAATATAGGTGAGACTTTAAACGTAAAGTAGATGTGCTTTGTTATTTGACCATAAAGTTCAGTTGGCAGAGGAATACAATAAATATTGGGATAATACATCAGATTCAGGATGGTTGCAGACTGGTACGGTCCATCTGCAGATATTAACTGAACACTTTCTAGTCTCTCTCTCCCTCTCTCATTTCTTTCCTTGGTCAATAACTCCTCCGAATATCAAAAAAATTTCGTATCATAAACAGATGTTAGTATGGACCGTTACTTTTTCAAAGAGACTAATTAACCACTCACTGACATGAATCATTAGAACTTTAGCAGTGTGAGAAATATCAGACTCAGACACTCCATTGCACCTTCTCTCTTTTTGTTTTTCTTTTCTTTTTCAGTCATTTGTGTTTTTCAATAATTTTTATGAATTTAAATTGTGTTTTCACTTTAGTTAGCAAAAAAAAAAATATATGTTTTCACCGGCGTCGCTCATTGGTAGGCCATTAATTTGTATGGGATAGAATTACGGGAACTAAATTTTAGTGTTGAATAAGAACATATTGTTCTCAAAGATGCATAGGATCCAAGTCATATCCAACAGGGAAAGATTTTTCAAGTTTACTGTGGTTCACATATTTGACCCCACGACCCGATTTTGGCGTACGATGTCGCACAAACAGCACGTGCATGTTCCTCATTTTACTATAGCCACTTACACGCGCATTGCTCAATTATATACATCGACCAGTTCAGTGCACATAGTGACATAGCCAATAGTAGCTAGTTGAATAGGCTTGCTTTGGGTCCGGATATAATAGTGGGATTCATTTGGTTCAGCTCTATTCTTGTTTTGCAAGAATTTTTATCTTTCTCTTTTGAATATAAGCAAAGGATTCCAAACAGCTAGAAAACTAAATTTATCGTTAGAGATTTTGAAATTTCGTAAATTTTTACACGATTTTTTTAAGATTAAATAAATGAACAAGTTGCTCCATTTTCTTTAAATTATTTAATCGTTCATCTCAAGCCGAATTTGATTCTAAATTTAACAATAACCTTTACTTGGATAGTTTTGCCATGTAGATTTAGATATTGAACTGAGTTGACTTTATTGATTAATACACAAGAGTATACATGAAGGTTTCAACTTTATATATGTACATAAAATTCCTATAAAGTAGGAAGCAATCCTTAACTGTCACATTAAGAGTCGAATCCTGATCCCATTAGATATGTACTTATGTTCAATACGTCTTCCACTATTTGATATATCTGAGCTTTAGATTTATCCCTGATCTTATCACCAAGTTGAATTTATTGAGTTTTATGAAACTGTTGTATTGCAGACGAGAATCCTAACAAAAGGCAACTCTTGGGATTAATCCGATATGTGAAATCTGTGTTAATTTTAGTGTTTTATTTTTCTTAGCAACATGTAATATGCGGATATAAATTCAAATGGTGACACAGCTATACTGCTACTGCATTAACATTAACTAATAGGCTGTTTTTTAATCAGCATGCAAGATGCGGATATGAATTCAAATGGTGACACAACTACTGCACTAACACAAACAAATAGGCTGTTTTGAATTATTTTGAGATTTTTAATCGTTATCTAAATATTTTATATTGTTGTGCAAACGTTTTTACTGTTTCTAGGGACCATTAATTCACAAAATATTGTTAGTTAACTTAATTAAGTGTTAGTTCATATGCATTTTAAGTGGGAACTTCAATTCTTTCCCTTGTTATTTTTATTTGTTTTTTCTTCTAAAAAGTTAATAATCAATATAGGAAAAACAAAAAAATATAGGAAAATGTTGATCCATTCCCCACATTATGTTCCTTCTCGGCTCTTAACGGACTTACAATATAAAAAGTATATTACCGTAAACATATGTCAACTAACCATATTTGTGTTTTGTATTCAATATTTTTCGGTTTATGACAAAATATTTGGAAAATTCAAATACGTAATGTATAGATAGTAAGAAAAATATAACAAAGAAACAAGGTCTTGGTTACTACCCACGTGCGGACCGTGATTTACTTAGCTGTTACGGCACCATCAAAACCTCAAAGCCACACCACATTCTAAAAATTGAAACATGAAGAAATTGACACGTCGGTATTATTTGGTTTGTAGCTATAGGTTACCGGTTATTTTGGTGGTTAGCCCAAATGAGTGGTCCAATAAAAAAAGCGGGTAATTCGTTGTTTCTGTTCTGTGAAGTGAGAGAAAACAAACTAATGGGGACGATCCCAAATTTCCTATTCTCCAGCTTCAATTCAAACCCTAATTTCCGATTTTGGCGGTCACACCGGTCGTCCCAATCACCAACCTATTTCTTCTCTCTCCTTCACGATCATCCTTCGTCTCTAAGCTCTCTGTTTTTGGCTTTTTGCCCTTTCGTTTTTTGACATTTTCTCTCTCTCTCTCTTTCTCCTTTCTTCCCCATTAAGGAAAGTGTTTTCATTTTTAGGTTCAGAATCCGAATCCAAGGAAAGTTTTGTTTTTTCTTAGATTAGGTGAGTTTTTTTCTTCCTGTTTTGGGTTGATCAAATCTTACATTGATTAGGGTTTTCTTTTTATTTCCAATTTCGATCTTTCTTTTTATGGGTTTTCCCAAAATTGGTAAAATACCAATTCTTAATTGACGAAAGTATGAATCTTTGCTATTTCCATTGATTCTTGTTACTGACTATTGGTTTTGAAAATGGGTTGTCTTCTGCTTTTGTTCGTTTGAGTTTCAGTTAGAGTATCTCGATTAGCACAAGATAGTTCTGTAATTTGCATTTGGATCCTGAAATTTGATTCAGTGTACGTAAAATAGTTCTGATTGGTGCAAAGGTATGCAGGATGGGTCGAGTGAAGCTAAAGATAAAGAAACTAGAGAACCTTACTGCACGTCAAGTTACGTATGCGAAAAGAAAACATGGGATCATAAAAAAGGCTAAAGAGTTATCGATTTTATGCGATGTAGATGTTGTGCTTCTCATGTTCTCTCCTGTGGGAAAGGCTTCACTGTGCTGCGGGAAACACAGGTCTAGTGACTCTTTCTTTGTACCAAAGGCTTGTTTAAACATCGTTCTGTTTAGTTTTTGGCTTTTGTTTTGATGTTCTGCTTGTGGGGGTTTGTTTAGTATTGGAGAAGTCATTGCCAAGTTTGCTCAACTCACTCCTCAAGAAAGGGCAAAGAGGTTACTTCCATTGACTCTCCTAAAACACGCTTTTTAGAATATTTTGCGTAGACTGTACACTGAGAGTAACTATTTTGTGTTTTCTTCTTGTCTACGTTTGAACAGGAAGTTGGAAACTCTTGAAGTAAGTGGTTTTGCTTGGCTCTGTTTGGTCTCTTTCTCTTCTCATCTCCTAAACTAGTAACATTAATACTGTTTCCTTCTTACAATATCTCAGGCCTTGAAGAAAACATTTATAAAGCTTGACCACGATGTAAATATAGCAGAGTTTCTGGACAGAAGGTATGTACATATTATTACACATATATTAATAATCTTGTGAACTCTTTCTCTGTTTGTTCTTGTTTAGTATTTGTGAGTATTATTACTAATGTGACTTGTTTTTGTTATCTTTTCAGTAAATCAACAATTGAGGTAAGTACAACTAACTACTATGATGTTTATAGTTATATACTGATCATGAAAATATCATCTAATCCAATTGTTTCTCGCAACCGGGAACTTTCAGGTTCTTAGAGAAAAAGTCAGGTTTCTGCAAACACACTTATCAGAATTACACACACGACTAAGGTGCTAAAATCCCTCTATATGCTTTCAGTTAAAATCTCCTCTCGGTTTTTGCTATCTCATTAATGAGTTACATTATTTTCCGATATAGCTATTGGACCGAGCTAGAGAAGATTGACAACGTAGATGATTTACAGCAACTAGAAAATTCACTAAGAAAATCTTTGTATCAAATCCGTGCTCATAAGGTATATATATCCATCTCCCAAAACGATTAGTTATGGTTTCATTTTACAAAACTTATGCATCGATCTTATTACGAGTTATAGGTTAACATGCTGCAAGTGCAACACCAGCAGGATCAATTTATGTCCTCGGAATGCAAAAATCAGGTACATCGATTTGGACACTAGAGATCTTTGGATTATGTGTATATAATAAAGCTTACATATTGTGTTTATGCATGCAGTTGCAGAACGATATAGATCTAGATTTTGGAATGGAGATGGAACAACAACTTGAGAGTTTCTCATGGGTTCGTAACGATGAAAACATGAATGTTCCTGTAAAAGAAAAAGACCCAAATCCACAGTTTCATCACACGTACAATGACATAACGAATGTTGCTTTAAAAGAAGAAGACCCAAATCTGCAGTTTCATCACACGTACAATGTCATAACGAATGTTAATGTAGAAGAAGAAGACCCAAATCCGCAGTTTCATCATACATACAATGACCTAACTTGCTCCGCAAGTTCATCTCTTGAAAGTTACTCAGGACTCTTTGGTAAAAGCTCAGATACCAGCAGACCAAAACTAGAAACCGGCGGCATTCCCGGGACATCTGCTGATCCAAACCTGCAATTCAGCAATCTCAGCTTCCTAGATGATTCAAAGCTTCAGCAACTAGCTGAGTGGAATCTTTTAGGAACTCCAGCGGATTACTACGTTAGCCAGATCTTGGAAGCATCTTATAGGCCTCAGTTTGGAGGAAACTGGGCTTCTTCTGAGACGTTAACAACTTATCCTGTTTCTGTCTTTGATGAGCCTCTGTTCTCACGGGTATAAACTACGGTTTTGCTCATCATTCATTTGCTTCACGATTCTTTTATTGCAGGTCTTGTTTTGCTGACTGTTTCTGACAAATTCTGAACTTGCAGCAGCCAAACTTATAAGTATCTCCGGCATAAAAACGAAGTGTTGATCCGAAAACGCGTCTTGAAAGAAGCTAAGTTGATACGTTACAGGGACACATACTAAAAGATACGATACCATATTAAGTTGCTTGTAACTCAAGACATTCTTTTAAACCATGGTCGATTTTTTTTTTTTTATCTTCTGTATTTTTTTTTGACCTACCTTGATAGTTGTTGATACTGCACGTAACGTATTTTCTCGGTTATTCATATTATTAGAAATCCTAAGCAATGCTCCGGGAAATACAGCATCTTTGGACCTTCTCTTCTAAGTTACAACCTCAAGTTTGTTTGCCGCAAAGCCAAAACAGAGCAACCACATAACCAATTGAAATACATAGTAGACGTTTCTTCAATTTCACAGATTAGATATAAGCTTAGGACAGCTAACTTTTGTGATGACTAGCTATTTGATAAATTCAAAGTAAAGATATTGGATGGTTATGATAAAGACAGAATAAGCGAAATATATAGTATTTCGACACATGACAAAAACTGATTCAAGAAAGACCAATAACATATTATAAGGTTGGGGACTGAACTAAAAAAAGAAAAGTTTTAGCACATCAAGTTATTGAATCGTAAAGTAGAACAGAACACAAGAGTTCTTTTTTAACTGAATAAACGAAAAGTGCTTCATGCCATCAAAATCAAACTTCAAAAACTTAGCTAGAACCTTTGTTTAAGACCTTGGCTTCTCCTTCTTTTCCCTGAAGAGAGCAGAGAGGGAAACACCAGAAACCTTAACGACCTTGAACCTAACTCCGGGAATATCTCCCACAGCATGACCCTTACGACCAAATCCAGCAACCAAGACCTCGTCCTGCAACAATATAAACAAAACATGACTCAACCTTTGACAGAAACTAATCCATGTTTTGTTACAAAGGCTTTTCTTTATTTGATTCAACTTACATTTTCCTCAATGTGGTTCAAACAACCATCGTTGGGGACAAAAGCAGCAATCTTCTTTCCATTCTTGATAAGCTGTACTCTAGCACACTTACGGATAGCAGAGTTAGGCTGCTTAGCCTCAATTCCTCTGCATAATCAAACAAAGAGACTCATCAACACTAAGGAAAAAAAAGAGAGCAGAGAGATTAAAGAAGCCAATTGTAGATTCTTTATAGCCTTACGTTTTTTCAAGGACGATTCCTTTTGCGTGAGAAGATGTAGCAAAAGGCTTATTCCATTCATTTCCTTGGTGAGACTTCTTGTAACCCTTGTCTGCCCACCTCTGCTTAGTCCGATTCTTTTTGAGCTTGCGTGCAGCTCCCATACCCCTTGGCTTACTGTAACATATCATCACCAAAGTAGAAGCAATTCATAGTAAGTATTCACAAGAAGTTAAAAACTTGATCTTAAATTCATCATGAGTAAGAGCTATAATAAGCCAAGCACACAAAAATAAGCAATGCAGCTTAGAGATCATATGCAATTAAGGTTTAGAAATCATAGCATAGTAATCCATTAAGCTTTCATAAAAGCAGCACACTCTAAATCTCCAGATTAGCTATTATTCCTTGCATTATGTTCTCAAATCAAGATAACAAACACGTAGCACAATTAAGTATAATCTATTGTGGATCCGTAGATGAAAAAAAAAAACGAGTAACATACATATTTAGAAACAAACACGCATTAATTATATTGCGTGAGAATCCCTTCAGCAATGATAATCAGAAACCACAATGAAAAAAATCGAATCATGAAACCATTTCCAGCTAAAAAAACAAAAGCACGCTCGATCGACTGAATAAAGCCCTCGTATAATTCACCGAAATAACAAGGAAATCAATTCGATTTAACGTTAAAGTAACGAACAGAGAAAGGATCAAAGAGAGGAGAAACATACCCCATGTTTGTCGAAGGAGGAGAAAGATTAACAGCAAAGAGGAATTTGCAGCAAGCAAAGATGAGATCGTTTCAAGAAGCGGCTGCGAAAACCCTAAACCTAGTGAAGGCAGTGAGTCTTTATATAAGAGATATTGACCCGTGCTACCCACGGGTGTATTTTCGTATTTTATAACATTGTTATTTTTAGATTATAGTTTTGTGATTGAATTTGGGTTTGAATCTAGAGTGTAATGGGCTTAGAAAAGGCCCATAGATTAAAAAAAAATGTTGGTTAGCAATACGAATGATAGTGACCTTTAGGACTGATCATGTGGTAGTTATAGAACAAAAAAAAATGTCAGAACACCACATGGCTTCGGTTGTTCTGTATCACTCGTGACTGTTACTACGTGCACCTCAAATCTTATTTTTCTTCTTCTTTTTTCTTTTTTTTTTGTTGTCACGACTTGTTGTTCGTATTCCAATTTATTATTTTTTTTTTGTAAGTCAGTTGGTGTTTTTTTTTTCCCGCAAATTGCTAAAATTTTTTTGTCTACAAGCTAAGTATAGGAAAATCTAATAGATATGCGGATTTGCGGGCTAAACGAGCCTGTCGAGAAACTAGTCCTTGTTTTATTAGCTCCGTTATTTTCCTAATGGATCCTCCTATATATATATTGTCTCTGCTCTGCGAAATATCTTCTTATAAAACACTTTTATAAACATCTATATAGTGAGATTATTCATTTTATAGGTTTTATAGTTCTGAACGAATCTGCTACGTTTGGGGAACAAAAAAGTGAGCGGACGGTTACAACTCGGCGGACACATGACGTGAGATGAATGTGTATTTCTTTGTATATATAAAAAAAAAGCATATGGTTACGGATTAAGAGTATCAAATGATCACATCTCTTCACATGCAAATGCAATACAAGTATATTTAAAACGGGTCGGAAATAATGTCTTTGGCAGGTTAGTGTAATAACAATTTCCTAACAATTGAAAAGATATCTAGAACTATGCTTTTTCCATGCAATTCATGTGAATTAATTTAATAAGATTTCCAACAAATATATGCCGAGCGTGAACATGATAAAAAAAATACATGCCGACTTTGTTTACTCGATATGGCGATGTAATAAGACTCATAAAGTAAAAATAACAAATCACCAATATTCCTTACTTGTAAAAATTGAAAATTTACAACATTACATGACTTGACTAGAACACTCAGAATACAAATCTAACAATTTCTTGAAAAGCTGAAACTCTCCCTCTCGCTTCAAGAGGAGATACAAACGGAATTTTTACTACTAGCGGGTGGTACTTATTAAGTCCACCTCTGCATCAGTAAAACTTCTAAAACCTTACCAATAATAAGAAGAAAGAAAAAAAAAAAGTCCCAAAAGATGACGTCATCAAGGCCTGTGCAAAATCAAGCACTCGAAGCACACCACTTCTTTTCAGGTAAAACCCCAAACTGAAATAACGGACCAAATTACTAATATGCCCTCCTTTTCTCTAAGCTTTCTACTACTACCACACGAACCACTTGTTTTCATCACTTTAGTCAAATGATATGAGAGTTTACCAAATTGCCCTCGACCTAGCGTATCTGCGCGCCGGTGAAGGTCTGGCCAAAGGACCAGCCTGCGGAAGCGACGTTGTTGGAGACGATGGTCCGACCATCGCTGGTTGTGACTTTAAAAGAGAGAGCTTGTCCGTTTAGGTAAGAGTTACTCTGCCAGTTTTGTCCCCAGTTCCTTGACATAGCTTGCCACCCTGTTCTTGAACCCTTAACCGCCGCCGAGTGAACATCTCCGGCTCCTCCTACGTTGGTTATCAGAACGAGGTTGAAGTAAGAATGTCCGTTTATCGTAAATCTTATTCCTCCCCTTCTCACACAAGGCACTCTGCAAAAACAAAAGTCCAAAAAACAGAGTAAGATTCTAATCTAAAACAGAGCAGCTCTGTTTCTTGCTCTGTTTCTTGCTCTGTTTTGGGGGGAAAAAAGTTACCTTCTGTAGGCGACGGGGACAATGCCGGCTCTGTATTGAGCGATGCGTTGAAAAACGGGCTGAGAGAGATCGAAATGCTGCTGAGGAGGGTTACACCAACCTCCTGCGTTGTTAGGTAAAGCGTTGTTTGGCGGGCAAAAGTTAGTTGCTGTGACGACGATCGAACCAGGGAGACACCATTTTCCGTCGTTTTGACATCTTATCTCGAAGCAAGCACCACAACTCAACCCGTTGTTGAACAGAGCCGTGCTCAGCGCCGCCGTGTTTGTTCCATACCCTTGGCTGTAGAGGTTTCCGTAACCACAAGCACCTCCTGAAACCAGAGAGAAAATTTTAAGAATTGTGATGAATGCTAAAAAAAAGATTAAAGCTTTAATGATATTGTAACTTTGGTGAAGATGGAGAATTTACCCATTGTGCCGGAGGCATCACCACCGCCGTAGAATGTAGCGTGTGCGTTTACCCAACCGCCACCGTAGCCATTGACGCATGACGTCATTACTCCGAGAATAACCATTAACAAGAAGCCGATAAGACCCATTTTGTTAATTTTTGTTTATAACCTGCATATTGGTAGTAAGATCGATCAGTTTTTAGCACATTTTTGAAGAAGATGAAAGGAGCTAAAACTAGTAATGTGTCATGTGTGTTTGAGAGAGAGAGAGAGAGAGAGAGGAAATGATTACTTCGAAGCTTCGATCTTTCTTCCGTTCTTAAAGAGGAAAAAGAGAGAGATGATTATGAGAATCTGTTGTTTGGTTTAGAATTGGAAAAAGCAGAGGAGGCGAGTGGTTCAATTTATAGAAAAAACTTAGCGAGTGCAAAGTTACGTTTTTGCCACTGATTATGCAACTACCATGCATGCACTCCTTTTCAATACATTTATTTTATCTCCTTTTTAATTAAAACAAGGCCAAGAGTCGGAATGCAATTTCTTTTTCGGTTTTTTTTTTCCCGTATATATATGTATATAAAGTTGGGATTATTATATTAAATATTAATGAGCGGAGTATGTAATAACAAAAATAAAATTATTTTAATGTTGGGGACCAAAAACCGCTGAAAATCTTAATATTTAATGGCATGAAAAAGCAAAGAGGCAAAGACACATGTGAGCTACAAGACGGGTCGTGTGTTTTCTTTTTTCTCAGGAGCCTTGAAACACACATAATTAAACACCACTTTTCCATTGAAAAATGTATTTAATCTGTCAATTTAAACAATTAAGCAAAAGAAAATAGTTCAAAAATAGGCAGTCTAAAGTTTTGTATTTGGTATGCTTTATGATTTTTAACCGGGGTTGAAACAGACTAATAAAATGAAAAAATTATAGAAAAGCAAGGAAAAATAAAATAAAGACAGAAAATTCAAGTTAGAATCCAAGTGGGTCACAGTGGTCTGATCTGAGTTAGATGTATCACGAAACATATAGCTTTGTCGTTCGTTTATCTCAGTCTATGTTTCGATGTGTTGTAACAATCTTAATGATATTTCTTTGAAAATTATCAAAAAAAATCGTGTACGATCGATGCAGTCGTGTCTGGATTATGTGAAAAAATGTCGCTGAAGTACATAAATTAAATTACTTAATGACAAAAACAGAAAATTACATGTGTTTGGTGATGAAGTATCGAACTTCTGCGGACCTTCTTCGGTGTTTCTGCGGAAGAATTTATTAGGGTTAGTTAGAATATCGATTTTGAGATCACATTTTACTTTGTGCATCGAGAAAATAAATGCACATTAAATTTAATAAGGTGAAGAAGTTCAACGGCAGAAATCGACGGCCAAGTTTCCGTAATTTCAGCTCAAAACATGGGTCCACAAAAGATCATGGACGGTCCGTTTGCTACTTCTCCAATGTCTCAGAAATAATTATTTTATAATAATAGTAGGAAACAAAACATATATATACAAACAGATTAATAAATAAAGATAAATAAATGAAAAACAAAGATACCCCCGCATGTGGTTGACAAACGCCGTTTCAAGCTAACGTTGTAAGCATGTATTGATAGATGAACTGAAGAAAGTTGACACGAATCCATCCTCTTTAAATTGTTTATTTTAGTGTTGATTGATTTCATCTTCAAATGATTAGAGTATATAACACCAACTAATCATTGATACTCATCTCCTCCCTTTCCAAAGTTCAAAAATGTGTATTCATGTTTAATATATACCAAATTGTCAATCTATTCATTTGGTTGGAACTATTAGTAAAATGGAACAAATATTAGTTTTTGTTAATGTTCTAGCGTTGTAATAATTCGAGTTTTCTTTTTGAGATTTTTGAATAATCGTTGTGTAAATAGGATATGTAAAAAGAAGCATAAGTGAGAGCATTGACAAAATATTATGAATATTTCTACGAAGACGCAAAAAAATAAGATCAATTTGACTTATATTTTCTTTGAGTTAACAGTGAAAGAAAACTAGAAAAGACTAACGATTGATTAACTAATAAAATTTAAAATAATAAAAAATGTATCTAGCTGAATTAGCGCTACTTACACACCTAGATAAACGGTATCGACAACAACAGTTATAAGAAAGTTAGTGAAGATTTAATTACGTGTCAATATATGAATGTGCATGCGAATGTGTTGATGCGGATTCTTTAACAGAAAACAAGAATGGGTTAATGTGATAAATATACAAATTACATATGCATATAAATCTACGTAGGGACTTGAAAACCTTTCCGAGATAGATAATTAATTTATATCCTTAGGTATTTGTTCTATCTTGTGTTTTTATTTTCTTAGTCAGATGTAAATCAGACAACCACTCTTTGCGCATGTTTGTTTGCGTGTATAAAAATGATTCACCATAAATCATAACCATTAGCGTGATAGTAGGAGCAAGGGCAAATTGGTAAAAAGTTAATTTATTAAAATTAAGGTAGTGTTGAAGCCGGTTTTAACGACCTTTAACCAACTCTCGGTCCGGAGACCATCTCTTTCTATTTTACTTTTTTTTTGTATTAATAAATTTTTATAATCTAAGATTCCATTTTTCACGTTCTGATTATGATCTCTGGAAGATTTCATGTCAGCTGAGTTTTCAGCTTTTACTCGTTGGGTTAGATTCGAAACGATAATTTTCTTGGAAATCAATCCAAAGTCCCACATTGGAAGATTAGACAAATATAATCTAGTATATAAGAACATGTCTAGTGGGGGTTTGGAGAAGGAGTTCGGGCCCGGATTTATAGGCAAAGTGTATTTTTAAAAAAAGAAATATAACCCATTATTGACGGATCGGTTCATCCGCGCGAGCTCGATGACCCCGTCTCTTCGCGACGTGTCACATTGCGATTGGAGGAGATTTCGTGGTAATTTTCGGGAAATGAATTATTTTTGGGCCAAAAAATCATTTCGTGTGTTTCCCCTTTTTTCTTCTCCTCTCTTCCTCTTCACCTGCGATTCGTGACGACTCCGTCGAAATCGTCCAGACCGGCGTCAATTTGCGGTGGTTTGTTCATCCGAGGATCGCCCATCCGTCTAGATCGGCAAGGTTACTATCTGTCATTGCGGTTTCGTTGATTTTTGTCCGATTTGAGTTTTAGGGTTTGCGATTTTTTTTTTGGGAAGAAATTTTGGTGCTCAATCGGGGGTTTTTTTGGGGATTTTTAGTTCAATACGAGGTTTAGTGGCCTATTTGAAACTCATAATCGAATTTGCGAACGGTATTTGTATGATTTCAAAAAGAAATTGAAATCTGTAAATTAGGGTTTACTGATATATCATGGTTTTTATGGTTTTTAATCATGGTATAGGTCTTATTTATAGAGTCTTTCTAGTGTCTTTCAAGTCTTTTGGAGTCTTTTCAGGTCATAGGTACGTTTGGAGCTTAGCTGGAGACTTTGGAGCACTTTGGAGCTTAAGAAGGATCAAATTCGTCAAGAATGAATTTTGTGCTTCAGTGACGCTCGACACCATGGAGAGTGACGCTCGACACTTGTCAGAGAAATAAGGAAAAGGCGATTTTGTTTCCTATTTGAAGAAGGAGTTGGGCCTAAACGTTTTCAAGGAAGCCCAAAACGTGTCTTAGAGATATATATAGGATTTTTATTCCCTTTTTACGATTACCCTAGATTATTGAGAGAGAGATACTCTGAGTTTTTCGACTTTTGCGATTTCTGAGCTTGGGGAGACAAGTCTGTACTCTGTTCGTTTAGAGAGAAGATTTCGAACCCCTTTATCTATTTCGATTTAATCTATTGCTTTCTATTCATCAAGTTTGTTGTTTCAATAACCATGTCTGAGTAGATCACCTGTTAGGTTTAGGGTTAATTAGGGTTTTCTTTGAATGTTTGATTAACTTGCTAGCTAGGGTTCATATCTGTTAGTTCTTCATCTTAGGTTGTTCTTAAAGCTAATTCTGGATTGATCACCTAGAACTTAGATCTTAGGTTGCTTGATTGACACGGAAGTGTAATTGAATAACTGGAAAGAACCTGAGTTGAGCAAAGTAACTATTCGCAAAGGAATTTGGTTTAGGAGCTTTGTGAACATATCGAACTTGTGCAATTAAGGCTGGTTTAAATCTGTAGGATTTGCAAAGGAATTTGGAATTCTAGGATTTTAACTTAGATAACTCTCACAACGGAAGTTGGTTAATTATAGTTCTGTGTTTCGAGTTCAAGAACCGTGCTTAATATCTGAACCCTGACTTGTTAAGTTGATCTGCATTCATTGATCTCCTGAAAATCACCCTAGACCTATCCTTTATCACATCGAATTTCAAACCTTTTTCATTGCTGTTTTATTTATTTCTGTCGCATTGCTATTTGTTCCGCATACTTCGGCTTAGCGTAACTCCATCTACACAAGGTTTATTGAGTGATCTCTTGTCTCTGTGGTTTGACCCCTAGATACTACAACTGCACATCTGTGCTTTTGCAGAGTAGCTTAGGGATTAAACTTTGAGCAGATCAAGTTTTGGCGCCGTTGCTGGGGACTTGATTTCGCCATTAAACCTAGTTTTTGAGTTTCGACTAAGTTTTTCGACTTAGTGTCGAGCGTCGCGCGACACCTTTCTTTTTATAACCTAATTTACTTATTTTGTTTTCTCTCTTTGTTTTTGGTGTTTCAGGTTTATGCATACTCGTGGAACCAGAAGCAACAAGGACATCCCGCTAGTGAATTTGAGCAACGAAGAACTAGCTGAGTTAGAGCGAACGAACAGGAAAGCAAGAGATCCGGCAATGATGGAAAACGCCAATGGACTTGTTCGTGATAATGATGGAATCTGGAGAGACCAAGAGGGTCATGTGTGCAATGCGAGAGGCCAAAGGCTTGATGGAGATGGCAACATCATTCCACCAGCACCTTTACTAGTGGATGTTGTTGACCAGAATCCACCACCTGCACCGCGTGGGAATGCTGTGATCGTTCCAAATCAGATAAACGTTCCAGAGGATCGGAATGTGAGGGAACCTACACCTGCAGCTGGTCGTGGACGAACACTTGGAGACTACAACAGGCCTGAGCAGTTCTATGCAAATCGTTCTGCGATTCGCGCCCCTGCGTTTCAAAGAAACGATTTTGAGCTGAAGCCTGTGTATTACACTCTTGTGGGTCAGCATCCTTTCCATGGCCACTCTCATGAGCACCCTATGGATCACATTGAAAGGTTTGAGGACTTGGTCACCAGCATCAAATACAATGGAGTGTCCAACGATTTCCTCCTCTGCAAGCTGTTTCCTTATTCTCTAGCTGGAGAAGCGGCTAACTGGTTGAAGCAGTTGGAGCCAGGATCACTCACCACCTGGGAAGATACCAGGAATGCTTTCCTGCACAACTTCTTCGACGATGCTAGGTCTGAGGAGTTGAGGATGAAAATCTCGACTTTCTCTCAGGAACCAACTGAAGCGTTCAAAGCTTCTTGGATACGATTCAAATAGTACCAGCGAGACTGCCCCCATCATGGCTTCAGCGATGTGCAGTTGCTGGGTATCTTCTTCAGAGGCATCGACTGGAGGTATTAGATGGCATTTGATGCAGCAAGCAATGGTAACTTCAACACCAGATACCCAGAAGAAGCTGTTAAGCTCATCGAAAATTTGGCATCCAGAAATAGCACCAATAATGCAGATCTTGAGCGAAAGAAGCAAGCTGGGAACATGGATAGATCGCAGATCGCTGAGGTGAAAGCTAAACTTGACTCTGTGCACAGCCTTTTAGTGGGTAAGAAGTCTGTCAGATTCGCACAGGAGGTGGAGAGTTTCGAACCTGAGGATGAAGCTGAGGAAGAAGATGTCAACTTTGTCAGTGGATCAGGATTTCAGGGTCAGAGGTTTGGTAATCAGCAAGGTAACAGAAGCTACAGTGGGAATTACAGTGGAAATAATCAGAGGAGTACCTTCAACAGTAATCAGAACTTCTCTGGTTACATGCCTAAGTCTCAGTACTAGAAGCCTTTTTCCAACAACAGTTTTTTCAGAAACTACAACACTTCTTCATCTCAACCTCAAAATCCTGAAAATGAGATGAAGTCTATTCTGGAACAAATCCTGGAAGGTCAGCAGAAGCTCACCGTGGACTTTAATGGAAAGATGGATGCTCTCTAGCTTGATCTGAATGGGAAAATCGAAGCTTTGAACACTCATGTCAAGCAGCTCGATACGCAGGTAGCCCAAACTGCAGGTTCTGTTAAAAGGCAAGAGGGTTTTCTTCCTGGGAAGACTGACACCAATCCGAGGCACCACTGCAGTGCTATCACGTTGAGAAGTGGTAAAAATATGAGTTCAGAGCCTAAAAAGACGCCTCATGCACCTGAAGTCGTGAATTTGGAAAACCCTGAAGAAGTTCCTGAGATTGCAGAGCCGGTGTTGAGCGACACCACTACTAGTGTCGCGCGTCACCAACTGCAGAGCGAAGCCGTTGATGCTCCGAATCCGAAATCTGCAGAGGAGAAGGCCTACAAAACTAAAGTTCCTTACCCAAGGAGCCCTAGAAAGTCCAAGCAAGAGCTTGATGAAGCAAGATGCAAGGCCCTGATGGAAAAGCTTGTGATTGAGATTCCCTTGGTTGATGCTGTAAAGATCACTCCTGTTATCAGAAGTTATGTGAAGCGAATGGTGACTAATAATCTCAGCCATGAACAAGGAGTGATGATGATTTCTGAACAAGTCAGTGCAGTGATTCAGAACCGAATTCCAGAGAAGCTGTCTGATCCAGGAAGCTTTGTCTTGGATTGCTTTATCTTCACAGAGAGATTCAAGAGATCGCTGTGTGATCTGGGTTTAAGTGTTAACCTCATGCCTTATTCAGTAGGTGTCAATCTCGTATGACTGATTTCAAGCCGACAAGGATATCTCTCATCCTAGCTGATCGTTCGACAAGGATACCTGAAGGGGTGCTAGAAGATGTTCCAATCAAAGTTGGAGACTGCATGATACCGACTGAATTTGTGGTTCTGGAGTATGGAGAGGAGCCTAAGGATCCTTTTATCCTTGGGAGACCTTTTCTAGCTACAGCAGGTGCTATCATCGATGTCAGGAAAGGCAGGATTGCTCTGAATGTTGGAGATCTGGTGATGAACTTTGACATGGACAAGCTGATGAAGAAGCCCACCATCGATGGTCAGAGTTTAGGGTTTAGGGTTTGATGAGGAGATTTTCCATGAGATGCTGCCTACAGACCCACTTGAGAGAGCTCTAACCACGTCTGCATCTGAAGCTGAACACTTGGACGAAATTTCAGCATCTTACTCGAAGATGTTGGACTCCAGCGAGCATGTGATGCAGCTAACATCGCAGATTGAACAGCTTGAGACTCCTGCGAAGGTGAAGCAGCTATCCGACTGGAGTGAGGAGAAAGCGCCCAAGATTGAGTTTAAACAACTCCCTGCAGGGCTAAGGTACGCATTCCTAGGCTCTAATTCTACTTATCCAGTCATTATCAACTCACTATAAGAAAACACCTCATTTACAACGACCATATTCGTTGTAAATTCGTTGTAAATGAGTGTTTGCATCGATTTTACGACGAAAATTAAATCGTCGTGAATCGATCGTCGTAAATCAAATTTCGTCGTAAATTCGTTGTAATTAGCGACGATTTATATTCGTCGCTAATTTACGACGATTTTAGAACTATTTTTAATATTTTTTTAATTTTTATTTTTAATTTTTTACAACGATTTTACAACAATTTTTATTATTTTTATTATTTTACAACGATATTACAACGATTTTTATTATTTTTATTATTTTTATTTATTTATTTTACGACGATTTTACAACGATTTTTTAATTTTTTTTTAATTTTTCCGGCGATGGTGGCTCCGGTGGTGATAGCTCCTCCGGCGGTGGTGGCTCCTCCGGCGGCAGTGGCTCCTCCTGCGCCGGTGGTCACCGGTGGTCGCTGGTGGTCGCTGGTGGTAGTCGCCGATGGTCGCCGTTGATCGCTGGTGGTCGCTGGTGGTCGCTGGTGGTCGCCGGTGGTCGCCGGTGGTGGTCACCGGTGGTCGCCGGTGGTGGTCGCCGGTGGTCGCCGTTGGTGATCCGTGGTCGCCGGTGGTCGCCGTTGGTGATCCGTGGTGGCCGGTGGTTACTCTGATGATAGTGATACACTGATGTTTAATAGTTATGAGCATGTATATATATATTAGAACAAATTTTCCAACACTACCGATGTGGGACTTTGTATATTTTATGAAATCGTTGTAAAATCATTGTAATTTACGATGATTTTACGACGGTTTGATTGTTTTTTTTTTAAAAAAAGTTTAAAATAAAAAGTTTTTTTTAAAAAAAAATCGTCGTAAAATCGTTGTAAATTGGTCCTTAACTGGGAAAAGTGTCACTTTATGGTCAGAGCTGGGATTGTGCTTGGGCACAAGGTTTCTGCAGCTGGCATCGAAGTTGATCGCGCGAAGATTGACGTCATGACGAGCTTGCCACCACCTGATTCTGCGAAATCGGTTAGAAGTTTTCTGGGTCATGCAGGGTTCTATCGTCGCTTCATCAAAGACTTCAGCAAAATTGCACGTCCTCTTACTGCTCTGCTATGCAAAGATGCTAAGTTTGAGTTTACAGATGAGTGTCTTGATGCGTTCGAACGGATCAAACATGCTCTGATAAGCGCCCCTATCGTGCAATCTCCTGACTGGAATTTGCCTTTTGAGGTGATGTGTGATGCTAGTGATTTTGCTGTTGGTGCTGTTCTAGGTCAGAAGAAGGACAAAAAGCTTCATGCAGTCTACTATGCCAGTCGAACTCTGGATGATACTCAAAGGAATTATGCTACTACTGAGAAGGAGCTGTTGGCTGTGGTCTTTGCTTTTAAGAAATTTCGACCATACCTTGTGGGATCGAAGGTGATTGTGCACACAGATCATTCTGCACTCAAATACTTGATGCAGAAGAAGGATGCAAAGCTGAGATTACTGCGATGGGTGTTACTCCTTCAAGAGTTCAATATTGAGGTCAAGGACAAGAAGGGTGTTGAGAATGGTGTGGCAGATCACCTCTCCCACATCAGGGTTGAAGACGACGTACCCATAGACGATTTCCTGCCAGAAGAGAATGTATACTATGTGGAAACCGAGTTCCAAAGCAGGGTTGACGAAAAATTGCAGGTTTTTCGAATTGGGTAACGTTAGTGACGAGGGACACCACCACTAGTGTCGCGCGTCACCCTGCTCAGCCGAACACAGAGACCTCTCGAATTCGAAGCAGACTTCCTAAGATCAGTTCAACTGTTGTATCTGCCACCCAACGTCCTTGGTATGCTGATATTGCCAACTATCTCGCTGCAGAGGCTGAGCCTGAGAACTTTAAGGGCTATGCAAAGATGAAGTTCCTGAGAGAGCTGCGAAGATACCATTGGGATGAGCTATATCTGTACAAGCACTGTTCCGATGGGATTTACAGAAGATGCATTGCAGAGTCAGAAGTTCCAGAGGTGCTGTTTCATTGTCATGGATCCGAATATGCTGGACACTTTGCGACATTCAAAACAGTATCTAAGGTTCTTCAAGCAGGCTTTTGGTGGCCTACCATGTTTCGCGACGCACATGCCTTCATCTCGCAGTGCGATGCTTGTCAGAGGAGAGGAAAGATCAGCAAAAGAAATGAGATGCCACAGAATTTCATCCTTGAGGTTGAGGTATTCGATTGCTGGGGTATCGATTTCATGGGTCCTTTTCCCTCTTCTTATGGGAACAAGTACATCCTGGTCGCTGTTGATTATGTCTCAAAGTGGTCGAAGCCATTGCCAGTCCCACCAACGATTCCTCAGTGGTTCTTAAGATGTTCAAGACCATCATCTTTCCTCGTTTTGGAGTGCCTCGAATTGTTATAAGTGATAGTGGTTCTCACTTCATTAACAAGATTTTCGAGAAACTCCTCAGAAAACATGGAGTTCATCATCGAGTTGCAACTCCTTATCACCCTCAGACAAGTGGACAGGTCGAAGTCTCGAATCGTCAGATTAAGGAGATCCTGGAGAAGACAATGGGTAAAACTCGAAAGGACTGGGCTGCGAAGTTGGACGATGCACTCTGGACGTACAGGACAGCGTTCAAAACACCTCTAGGCACCACACCTTTCCACCTGCTCTATGGAAAGCCCTGTCACCTTCCAGTGGAGATCGAACACAAGGCAGCCTGGGCGATAAAGCTAATGAATTTCGACATCAAGTCTGCTGCAGAAAGGAGACTGATACAGCTGAATGAGTTGGACAAAATCAGGCACCACGCCTATGAGAATTCGAAGTTGTACAAAGAGAGGACCAAGGCGTATCACGATTCAAAAATCCTCTCCAAGAAATTCGAACCGAATGATCAGGTACTTCTGTATAACTCTCGTTTGCAATTTTTTCCTGGTAAACTTCGTTCTCGATGGTCAGGTCCTTTCATAGTCAAAGAGGTTTGCCCCTATGGTGCCATCGTCCTCCTCACACCAGATGGCAGCAGAGAATTCACAGTGAATGGACAAAGGGTGATGCATTACTGGGCCAAAGCTGAGATTCTGGATGGACATATTGTTCCTCTGGATGGTGCACCACCTGCCTGAATCACCATCAATTCAAGCTAATGACTTTAAACAAGCGCTTGGTGGAAGGCAATCCACTGGTGAGTGTGTACATAAGTCCTTTGTTTCAGTTGATTTTCGTTTTTCTTTTTTATGTTTTAGGTAAAACAGGGCTGGTGTTGAGCGACACCACCCTCGGTGTCGCCTGTCATCTATTCAAAAAAAAAAAAAAAAAAATTTAGGACCTAGCTTAACCGGATTTTCAGAACCGTAGTGGAATCGGGAGCGGATCGGGCACGAGGAAATACCATTCCCACTTGCAAGTGTCGCGCGTCACCACCCTTGGTGTCGCTCGCCACTCACATACAGGTAAGTTCTCTCTTTCCCACGTTTATTTAAAACCCTTACCCTCACACCCTTTTCTCCCTTCCTCCTCGCCGCACTCGACACTTTCGCCATACCCACCCTCACCAAAACCCAAATTACTCAAATCTTCACCGATTTGAGTGATTCCAAAGCCTAACCTCATCAGATTTTCACCCTCTACCTGTTTCTCTCATCGATTTTCCATTCAAACAAGGTACACACTTCGAATCTCCACTTTTTTCGATTTCGGTACCTCAGGTATGTTTGTCGAAATTGCTCTTTTTGGGTTGATGCTTTGCTCGATTTTACCTATGGCGATCCATCTAGGGCATATTTCAACCACCCCCATGCGCTTTAAACGGTTCATTTGGCTAGATTTGAGAAATTCATTCTTCATGCCAACTTTACTTCGAAAATTTTAGAGTGTGAAATTTGTTTTGGAATTAGGGAGATTTCTGAATGCATGTGTAGCTGGAATCATTGCTGTTGCTCATTAGGCTTGCTGGAGTAAATCGATTGTGCTATACATATTCGCTGACTTGAGATTCTTTTCTTTTGTTGGTTTGCTCTGTTTCTTCTTTTGCAGATGCCTCCACGCAAGCGACAATGCAGGGACGCCGCCTCCAGTTCGCAACCTCCAGTCGAAGTAACCTTCCAACTCGGGGACCACGTCGAAGTTTTGGATGGTGACTTGTGGCAACGTGCAACCGTCAGCGCTGTACTCGCACGATCTCGCTACATGGTCAAATTCCTTGACTCCCAGGAGTTGCAGGTGTTCCCGACATCCCATCTTCGCCCTGCTGCACCGCCACGAACCTTCGCCTCACCACCACCATCGCCTCCTGCAATCCCTAATTCACCAGACGAGAGGATTAGGCGCCCTTGGCCTAAACGGGAGAATCTGCGCATTCCAACACGCAGGATCTGGGACGAGCCACCTCGAGCTGTTGCTGAGAGCGTTGAGTGTCTACACAGGCCGATTTCAGATGACTGGGATGATTACGACACTTTCTTCTACAACGCCTGGCTCAATGTGAAGCTACTCCCCACCAGGTTTTTGGACATTCTGGATATGAGGCGTTTGGGTTTGGATTCTGAGCTCCTGCATTTGTTGACGAAGCTTGGATTGGGATCTATGGCTACTAGACCCTACGATCTGTTTCCTGACCTTGTTCGTCAGTTCCTAGCCTCTGTTCGCATCTACTACACCAACGAACATGCTCCGAACGCCCAGGAAGGCACTCCGACCTTCATGATCCGCGGA